GTATTGTAACAGGTTTTCTCCGAAAACCTATTTCAAGTATCAGTTTACTTACAAAGGTAAGTAATAGTTACCTACCAGTAACCAATATGTAACATTTAATCAAATCTTTGAATGCCTCATGGGAGTATAAACGACAAGTAATATGATTCAAACTTCACAACTGTAAAAGTACCTTTACTTAGCACGACTAGTGAAACAAACCTCCTTTACAGCTACCAGCTACCATTAACCAAAAAGGCATTCGTAAAGACAAAAGGCAAAAACAACGAAAACAGATAATAAATAAACGTCTATCTATTAGGGCTGTACGAGGGATGAGCACGATACATCTCAATCAATAGTTAGGCTCGTTACACATCACTACGGAGATACTTCCAATCTTCGGCCGCGTATTTTCCGTTTAACTTTTTCCGCCATGTTTTCCTAAGATTACGTAATTTTCTTTCGTTATTTTTCAAATCGGCACGTGGAACGTTTTTTTTGTATCTTCTTAACTGCTTCATTGGGTGAAAATAGGCCAATCGCTAGCTTTATGCTTTCAATGTTTTCATCTTATTAAATATTTATAAGTACATTTTCTTTAAAGCAGGTAGAGAAAATGTTAGGTATGTAGGTAGGTGTGCGTGTGCCGACGCACCAATAAGTGCCAACAATAAACGTCAGTGCGTTACTAGCAAGCAGTGGTTTCACTTGTGTCCCCGTATCTAACAGAAAATAACTTGAGCTAGTGTGCAGTGACATTTCCCTTAGAATTATAATTAAAACATTCTAGGATGTGACATAAAAGGCTGTATACTGTAGTGTCAAGGGCTCCTTGCCACATATTCATTATAAAAACATGATTAAAACATAAAGCTGGGGTCCAGCCACACGGCCGGATCCTGCGCGCAAGGGTCCCAATTTTCTGGTCCAACGAACATCTTTTTGATGTCTAACATAATAAAGTAAGGCACCAAATTAAATTTCGTTATGGCCTCAAAGACATCTCATTAAAATTTTGACATTTCTTACTTATGGCGCTCGTTTAATCGAAATTCACGAGGATTTCATGACTTTTCCAACGTTACAACGTTTTGTTTTGTGTTATTGAGAACTCTATTTTTGATGTTCTTAAGTGGAAAAACCTTTAGAGAGGTCTCCTTCATCTTAACTTAATAAATTGCTAATGGTAAGGTCTCTAATTAATGCTAACCTTTTTCTATACTTTCAACACCTATTTTCTTCAATAAATTCTTAGAAGCTATAAACTGAAACTGGAAACTTATTAAAACTATATTAAATGCACATCACAGGACTGGCGTCACACACTTGGTGTTAATGAAGCGAGCATAATTAAAAGAGGATGGTTAGACGAAACGAAATGATTGTCCCTAACAAGGAAGAATGAGGCGAGGCGAGACGAAAGAGTCGTTATTTAAAACTTTAATCAACACGAACGGGAACGTGCAGCGGTGGGCAATTACTCTTTGTAATCTTTGTCTGTAGTTATCGAAGGCTGCCAATTGGTTGGGGAAAGGGCTGATTGACAGCATTGATGTTCCTAATGAAGCCACTAGATGACGCTGTAATTGGTACTTCGTTTAAAGTCCGAATTCCACTGCATTTCGGTTACATTCGAATTTCGGAATATTAGGATCGAATTTTGCCGAATTATGCCGTGTCCGTTTGAATTGTAGTGAATGTTAATTAGAGTGAATGTTTCATCCAGATGTCGCCTACATCACATAATTACGGTTCAATGGTTAAGTTTTTTTTAGTCTAATTTATTGTAAGGGATTTTTGTACACATTTTGTGACGATATCAATCCCATAATGGTTAAGTTATAAAAGTATTTGATACAATTAACAGTTTTTATTCTCTTAAAGTAAAGGGATATTTTTGGCCTTCCTACACTGAGTTCAGATATTTTGAATAACCTAATATCAGAAATCAGGATACGTTGAGATGATGTATTCCTATACAATGTTGTTTTTTAAACCGCAGTAGCTGCTTCACATTCCATAGAAGTGAATCGTTATATTAGAACGAATTTACTTACCTGATCACCACTCAAAAGATAAATTAGAACTCACACAAAGATCTAAACTATACCAGAGACTGAACATCTTCCAGTGAGCATATATGAAATGCCGACTTCAACTGAAGATTTTCTCAACTCCAATAGCATAAGATCTAGATGACCTAGAGTAATAAAGATCAAATAGCATTTCAAATGTGTTACTACCTACTTGAACCAATGGACATAACTATCATTGTGTAGGTTGGTAAATATATCTCGACCTTGGTCGATCTCTTGGTTCTGTACGTGGGTAGGCAATAGAGGAAGGAGTACTTAAAACTTTATGAACGATCCTCAACAACTATGTAACGAGGATATCCTAATACCGAGGCATAATGCCTGTTACTCCTTGGAGAAGGTAAACAGAAGCGTCATACATCGCACAAATCATAGAAGCAATAATTATCTACATCCACTGTTCGCTGATGATGTGGAGGTCAAGTTATAAGAATATGTCAGAAAATATGTATACAGTCTAACTTGACGATTGAACCTGAAGGCCTAGTCAAGTTACAATCTACAATCTGCAAGCGATATCGTTATTTGGAAATTATGATTCCATTATGATGATTGAAATTGTTCAACCGATTGATAAAGTTCATAATAACTACATATAATCTGTGTAGATACGTACCTACCCCATATTCGTGTTGCGAAGAACCTAACGGGTAACCGGGGCTCCGGCTCGACGTGCAGGAGAAGGAACGGGGTAGTTTTTAGTCAATAAGAGTCTGACACTCCCTCCCGCCTCACTCAGGTGGGAGCAGTTATTCGATGATTTTCCCCCCTTAAAAAAACCCCATATTCGTATCCTATATCTGATCCGCAAAAACGTTCGATATTTACTTAGATATTTGCGTTCTAGATATTATCCTGATTCCTAACTGCATACCAGGTCAATAAATTGAATGAATTTCAGTCGGATTGAATGTCTGAATTATACAACTTGACGGAATCTAGTATAACTTGTGAGGTTTGTTTGATCCGTCAGAATTTCTAGCTTTTCGCTTCCTGCAAATTCATTGATTGATTTTATTTGGCAAGTTAAGTAAGTTTTGTATCGAGAGTTTAACCCTAGTTTGAGTTGGAGTCTAAACTGCGCCCTTACGTCAGAAAAAATCAATTTTACTACAGTAATCTTGATACTAACTAATCAAACTAAGCCCTAGGGCAATCTAATATACCTGAACCTTTCAAAATGAAAACACATGTAAGTTGGGATCCTGGCAAACCCTCTTATGTAGAGGAGATCCATACTCCCAGAACGGAATGATCCTGACTGCCGATGCATGTGAGGTAGCTTTCTAAGAAAATCACTGAATTTTTTTTTTCTTTGTCGGGATATGAAATCCGTGATTTTTCCCCTGTCTCCAATAAATATAAAAATATGAATTTGTAAGTACACAGTAAAGTCTCACTATAACCAATTTAGTCTCCAAATCAAAAAGTCCTACCGTATATGCGTCAACATTTTTATTTTACGACAGATCATGATAGACTGATGTACCTTCGTCAGTCTGATATAGCCTGAGTGAAAACCTTGAGGCCATAAAATTGATCTCCAATTTATCATCGTCGATATACGAAGACGTGAAACTCGATTCCTTAGATGAAGAGCATGTCAACTGGTGTTTATTTTATGTGCTTATCTTTACGTAAGTAACATTTAAACATGAAATGTATGAAGCTGTAGGAACAGGTTATTGATATCAGCAGATGTTAGTTTTAATTATCTTTTTAAAAAACAATACCTTTGACGCTAAGACCGGCTGGTCTTAAGTGTCAAGGTTTCTTGCAAAGCATCGAGACCTACCAATAAAAAGTGCCTTTTGTTTTTTATTGGTGGTTTTTTTGAACCTAACCACGGGTCATTATATCTGATAGGTACATAATTATCGACACGTCTGTCTTCCAATAGAGTAAGCAGAGGCTATGGAACACCAAGTAACACGACTCTGGCATACCTTTTTTGCTTCTCATTCTAATTAAAATTCTAATAAACAAAAGTATGAATGTATTTTATTGCTGCTCATAGAATACACGTCAGACACATTATACTTGTTTCTTATTTATTTGTCTAAAATATGTCTACAAGAATATGAAATGTTAAATTCGTTACTTAACAAAAACTCAAAACTAGGTGACATCAGGTTTAAATCAATTATTCCGAGTATTACACACTCAAAAAATATCTCTAGAATATTGACAGCACAGATCCAGCGACCCCGAGATCATGACATAACACGACGAGATTTATCTAACACCAATCTTGTTCCCAAACTTTTCCTAGTCTACACAAGTTAGCCGTCTCAGTGTAGGTACATAATCCTCGCTAGCTGAATCGTTAACTCGATCACGAGGCGTTAAACATAATGGAAGAACCTTCCCAACACTGATGGCTCCCCAGCCTCCAATCTCTCATACACTTTGACACCGAGCCTCTGACGATCATTGATTCCCAACCCTGTCGTCTAATGACATGATTTTAATTACTCTCCACACCTACCTACCTCTTGGTTTATACAGTTTTCTTACAATAGAACCTGCCACAAAGTAATCCACCCCAGTAAAGCTTCAGTTTACACTTTAGAGTACTACTCTGTATGTAAATTAGCTACGAAAAAAGGCGTTTCAAGTTTTAGGTTAAATGGAATTCTGGATTATGTCTGCGTGCAGTGGAATATTAGGGATTCGGGCTGTAAGGAACACATCCATTTTACAATAAAAGCGTCTAATAAGGAGGAGGAAAGCACACAACGTGGGGTCCAACCAGCGATTGTCTGCCATTAAGACGTTGACAACCACTTTGAGGAGAGCAGTGTCTTGTCTCAGAGGGTGGTCAACAATCAAAATGGCAGTGGACTCAGCATGGTGTGGAATCTGGAGGGTGTCACCAGGGAATTGTTTACGGGGTGACCTTGAAGCCCGGGTAACGCTTACCTAGGACGCCGCACATAGTCGGTGGTGGCCGGGCTCCAGCGAGCGCGCGGCCATAGCGTCACTCACGCGCGTACCATCACACTAACACTACGCACACCACTCAACGTCACTCATATCAGGCTTTTAGGGGTCCGATGTGATCGGCGGGCGGCAGGCGTGCACTCCCCGCGGCCGCAGTTCATTCACTGAAAGGCCCGGGCGACGTGTTCGGATTGCGCAGGCTCGGACATGCGTTCAGGGGGCAACTAGCTCCCTCTGTTTTGTTAGTCGGCCACGCACTGTGCCGGGTTGGGCTTGGGCACGCCGATGCCACCCGATGCCGACTCAGAGGTCACAAGGTCGTAGGTAAATTGATAGCGACACAATTACTGTAAACATTGGTGAAGGGAACGTGGACTTGGATTTTGACATGATTCATGTTCGTTGCAAAAGTTAATGAGCTCCCTGTTACAGATTGTCTTTTCATATTTTAATGAGGCTGGATACAACATAAATCTGCTCTTTACCGCTTTTCAATGTAGGCACAATAGATTATTTTCCATCCCTTCGCCATTAATAAATTCGTATGAATCAGAATGACGGTTATTTGCCGAAAGTACCTATATTAAGTCAACATTTTATTGGCTTAAAATAAAATGAACGTTTATAATTACATTTTGTAACGTATTCACCTTACCCTCAATGAGAAATTAATTAATGGACTAGTAGATAGAATAGAGCTTCGTCGTTCTGAATAGAAAAACATAAAAAGAACATGAGTTGCTTGGCTCTACAAAATGTTTGCTAAATTCGTAATATCGAGTCGTTGAACAAGATGCAATATTGTTGCGGAAAGCAGATCTTCCGATCGCCGGTAACTCGCTTGAGCCGCGACCTGAACCGATTCCGGTTGTTTATGAATGAAATACAATCTCGAGAAATTGAGCGAATGGAATTCCATTCGTTTGCAAACAAGTGCAGCAGAGCTATGGATCAGGATTATTAGCGTTCTTTAGATTCCATCAATTATGTTCAGTTCCTTGAAAGTGCTAATGATAATTTTTTCTGGCTGGCGTTTGGAAATTTTGGAGACAGAAGCCCAAATATTTGCCAATAGGTCTAATGTGTTTAACCTACCAGCTATCACTCATAACGTGGTTTATGGGATAAATCGTGACCGCACCATTTAAAACGCTGACATTCAGTCGAATCGTACGTGAAGCTTAACTAGAAAAGGATGACTACTTACTATACCTCAGGTAACCCGTTTAGGGAATACTCCAATACCTTTTTATGCTTTCTCAAACGTGACCTGTCCTGCTGACATAAAGTTCCGACATTTGTGTCAGATTTTTCTCCACAACAGTAATAAATGTTCGTTTGATGACTCAGTTGGATATGATGCCAGTTTTACACGCAAGACTTATAGCCAGTCTCAAGTATGTTTGCTTTGGTGGATTTTGCTCCTGGAGGTAAAATTTTGACAGGTTTTGTATGGAGCCTAAATAGGCTAGTTTCCTAAATTTTATTTTAATGTCGGTGTGGTAGATTATTTTAAAACATTACATACGTATTTTTTCTTTTCTCACAAAATTAAATGCTTTCGACGATATATTGATTTGAAATGTCGTGTGACGTCATATCGTGCTATAAAATGTAGCACGTTTTGACGTAACGACCTCCCACTCCTTAACTTAACTCCGTTTTATCTAAGTATTGTAACTTTATACAAGAAAATAAAAAATACGAGTCTAATATTTTTTCATTATCAAACTGACGGAATAATTAGATTTTCAATTTTCTTACCCTGGAAACTACCCAATTGTATAATTGGAACTGCGTTCGACATACTGTGTACTTCGTACTATGTTGAGTGCCACATCTGGCGATGCACGCTTTTTTAACCGACTTCAAAAAGAGAAAGAGATTCTCAGTGTGACCTATGTGTATGTATGTATGTATGTATGTGTGTGTATGATTATCTCGCGACTTTCTGAACCGATGGCTTTCAGAAAAGTGTTAGTTACACTTAGATTTTAGTATATTAATTAACCGATTGCAAAAAAGAGGTTTTTATATGTAGTTTATAAAAGAATTGCTTTCGTTATTGAATTTTGTTTATACGGTGGATTACGCCGAAGAGCGTGGGGAGAACCAGCGGTGCTGTTCACATGTCATGACTCACATCTCATCATCATCAGTTCAATGCGCAGTACGAATTGATATGAGACGTCTCCGTTCAGTTGCGGTCTCCACGCAAAAAGAGCGTCGGGATTTTTTTTTTATTGATGATTTGACAAGTTTGACTAGCAAGCATGCAATCACACGTCCGCAGGTGGGAATGATACTTTTCATTTTGTTTAAAACATAGATCAGTATACTAGGAATTTCGAAACATACAAATTCACGTATGGTACAAATCACACCCACCCAATCCCAGAACAACAAATTGTGGATGACAATAAAAATTGTTGCGTGTGAGCATCGAACCGGCGGCGGCGGCGACACTGTGTAGACCGCCACTGCGTCGCTCCACCGCGCCGCCGGTTTTGTTTTTGTTTTTTTAAAAAACGTTGCCCCACTTTAGAATTTTCTCCTGTGTCGTGGGTGCGTTTACAAATATACAAGTTCACATACACAATGACACCCAGACTCGAAACAACAATTTGTGGATTACACAAAGTGTTGTTCCGTGCGGGAATCGAACCCGCGACACGGTGCAAGGCAGCCAGTTGCCCAGCCACCGCACCAACCGTGCAGTCGCCGCCGGTGTTCACAACTAAATAATAAATAAATCTTTATTCACAATAACAATGGCCAACATAGGTAAAAAAATATCTTAGTTAAGCGACAAGATCTTAAAAAGTAATATGCCTGTACTAGGAATATTCCTGTGTCACAGGCGACAGGAGCTCTCAAATTATGTTAATGATGAGACAAGTTATAGTTTAAACAAAATATTTAACACAATTTTCAGTAGTAAGTTAGG